GTGAATAAATGGACAATTTCAGGCAATGACATTTTGCAGCTTTTGGACAGAAAAGCTTAAATTCTCAGATAAATCAAAATATACATTAAATAGACAAACCCTCTTAGAGATGATTTGGCACTCAGAAAATCACTTCCCACACTCCTCTATTATCTTGCACGCGAGGAGTGCATATTGTTATTTAAAATTGTTTGTCATCCAAAAAAAAACATAAAAACTTCTGCTTTCTTTGTCATCCAAAAAAGTAAATTATTGTCGTCTACATAACATAACAATTCCCAGTTTTACAGGCAGGACACTTGTCTTACAACCTTGGTTTTGGTGAATCATGATTTTAAAATGTAAAACATATACCCTTTCAAATTGTATAACACATGAAAATTGTTCCTAGATGCAATCTAATCATGTTTTTAGTCCTTCGGAATGCAACGAACGTCATAAAATTAGTAATACAGCAACAATAACTTAAGAAATCAGAAAAAAGAAAAAGTATAATTCACCAGTCATAGTCATTTTTCTCCCCCTCCACATTAAGCAGGTCACTACTCTCTCCACGTGTAGGAATGGCGATTCCGAGCTTCAAATCCGAAAATTGCCTCAATTTTGTAGCTGTAATATTGAAAATAGACAAAAAGCCCTGTCAGTCAGAGACAAAATCCTGAACTCTCCACCTCCTATAAAATCATAAATAAATGTCATCTTACCAAATGTGTCTTCGAGATCATCTGACGACTGAAGCAAGAAATCCTCTTTTTCTCGCGTCTGCATTTCATTGAATAAGGCAAGATCTTCATCCTTCTCTTTCAAAAAAATTCCACTCTCAAAACTGCGACCTCGTCTGTGATGGTTCCCTCTCGGCTCTCGTCCGGGAGAGCATCTCATTGCCGGCGAAGGAGGCATCTCTCACCACCAAAAGCTACAAACTCAAAACCGCCAGCCCAAACTCTCCATACAACGCAAATTGAAGCAATAGCCCATCATATACATCTAGCTAGCTAGCTAGCTACTCACAATGAAAATAAATTATGCCCACAATCACTTTCCCAGTTTCACTTCAGAAACCAAACTCCTTTCTGATTCGCGTCTACGCGAATTGCTTCAAATTAATTGAATTTCAACACCAGCGACTTAATACCAATGGGAAGCATACATGGCATAGTAAGCCCAAGTCAACTCAAAGCCGAAATCTTTTGTTAAAATGCATAAAAAAAAATTGCATAAATTAATGTAGCAACTGAAACAACCGTACCATTCGCAATGCAGAGGCTCAACGTCCACGTATGTAATCTAATCAAATAAAGATCTTCATCGTGCAGCACAACCCCGAAACCCTAGATGCTGCCATTTGAAGACACAAAAGCAGAGACGGCGCCACAAGAGCAAAACAAAACCTAATTCAAACTCCAATTCAGCCCCCACTGGCCACTCTAAACCTCCATTGAAGTCGAAATTACAAGCCAAAAATCACCATTTCGGCGAAAGTAGTTTCAGTCTGCTTGGCTTACAGAGACAAAAATGGCTTCAACCAAACCCAGTGTATGAGCAGCAACTGCGATCCCGAAAACTCCGAAGCTGAACCACAGAGCTCGAAGATTCCAATCGCAACGCGACGAATGTTGTATCAGACAGTCGGATCTAAATCATTAATTGCTTTGTCTGGGTGTACGGATCGGAAGCTAAAGCTGTAGTGGATCGGTGCGAAAGAAGCGACAATTTTCTAGCATTCTCTCTCCTCGGAGAAAATTTGATGCGGAGAGAAAGTGAAATTGGGGAGTTTAAACTGGCTTTTGTTGTCGTCTAGATTTGCTTCTTTCCTCCACAACAAGCTTTCATTTTCTTTGCTTCTCAGTTTCTCTTTGCTCATCAAATATTTCCTTTCCTTTCTTTTCTTTTCTATTTTTTCCTGTTTTTCTTTCTGTCAATTGCACTTTTCTCTTCTTCTTAATTTTTACGACCGTGCCACTGCCGTTATAGTAAGTATTGTCTACTTATCTTAACCTCTCGTTTTCATTCTTTTGTTTTTCATGTATTTATTTATAAGAACACTCGTTTCGTATGGATTTTGTATTTTTATTTCTCTACTTAAAAATAGAAAGAAATTAGAGTGAAGGTTATAAAGGTGATGGAAAATAATGCAAATCATTTATAAAATAACTTAAATAGTCAGATTTTTTAAATTATATTTATTTAGTTTTTAAAAAATATAATGAAAATCGCATCAAACAAAAAATAATAATTACTATTTTCGTGCGTTTAAATTTTTTTTTCCTTTCTGACAAAGTAATATTCTAAATTACTATTTATGTAGGATGATGATGCAAAATGTAATATTTTAAATTACTCCAATTACTATATTTAGGTGATTTGGAATATCATAATTACCATGATAAAAACTTCAAATGTATAAACTTTATTTTTACAAAGCGATATTCTAAACTATTCTCACATACAGGGGAAGGGATCGAATAATGTGGGGGTGTGAGTTGAATCATTTTAATAATTTTTCGTAAATTGGTTACCATCAAATTTATGAAGATTTCTCGTATTTATCTGATGGATATGTTTAAACGAAAAATATAAATAATATTTCCATGCGAAATTAAAAGATTAGTTGGATTGGCTATTAGTTTCTTTCTTGGTGGGATGTTTCTTTTCCAGTGTAGTATGCGGCTGGGCAGATGCATTAAGAGGTGGATTTGGAGCAGTACATTTATTATTATTTTGGTGTGAATGCAGCGCGATATGAAATTATGCGTTTTTTCTGGGGAAGAAATGATGAGTTTAATGGCCATAAAATGTATTCAAATCAAATAATAGAACCGAACAAAATTATTTAAATTTATTCTCACCATATAAAAACAATTAAATTTTCTTACCAAATCTGTATTTTTATTGTTGGAATAGATGCTTTATTAAAAAAATAATAAGCACCATAAATGTATACAAAAATAGCACTAAAATAACCAATACCATCCAAAATTCAAGCACGAGAGACGAGCTATACAATTCAAGAAGAAATAATAACAAAAGATAAAAAAGAATAGAAAACCTGTACATCCCTTCAATATGCACATCCACAAAACATTGGCAGCACCAGTAACTTACCAAATCTCTGCAGGTAGTTTGACACCTTGCACTATTCTCATGGATTTATGCACATCATTTTTCACCAATACCAAATAGTACTACATTTCTTTTAAAAATAAGTAATAATAATACTTATTTCACACTTCCTTTACTCTCTAATTTTTTTAAATAAACAATCAAATGTGTGCTCTAATATATAATTTCGAATCGTTTAGAACAATAATTGTTTTCGATTCTTGTCGTTAGTCAAATAAATACCTCAGATACATATAAAAAAGATGAAAATAACATGAGACGAAAGGAGAGAAAATGAGTAGTACAACAACATAAGTTTTTTTTTATCCCTACCCCTCATTCGTTGTCTCATAGTAGTTGTCTGTCTATTTCCTCTCATAATCAACCAGAAGTTTTGAAAACCCTCTCTCATGATTAACAAATTATAATCACATTGGATATAATAAAAATCTTGGTTTATGTTGGATAAAACAATGTTTGGACATTATTGGCCTGGACAATACAAAAAGAACACGTAGTAAACTTTCCCCCGAGTACGACTATGAGAGGGAAGATCATCTATGGGTGTCAATAAGGTATTATTATTATTATTATTATTAGACACTAAATAAATAAGTGGGACAGCGATGGAAAAGAGCCCATAAATGATATAAGTTATAACAACCAAGCTAATCATGGATTTGTGTACTAATGGAAAGATGCATAAATTATGTCGTTTTAATTGGTAGGTGATGGAGATAACTTAGAAGGCTTCACTGTAATCATAACTATTTAAAATTAGAATAAAAAATAATAAAAAAATCAATGTATTGCTTTCAACATGTCTTTCATAACAGCAAATTTTTGTAAATATTTTAAGCCAAAAACTTGTTTGTCCTAGCAGCAACCCATCCAAAACAAAGTTAAATATTTATGAAGAAAAAACAATATGCAAATTAAAACCGTGGAGAGAGGTAATGCAATTTTGTCTCCTGTCGTCGTTAAAAAAGTATTAAATAAAACAATAAGAAACTAGTAATTTAATACAAGTGAATGCATTGTTTATATTTGTGTGGAATATATTTTTGTCATTAATCTTCGTACCTCATATCACTCGAAGGAACAACGCATTGAACTAGTAAACTTAGAATAATAATAAATGTGTGTGTGTGTTTTTTTATTGGGGATTATTTTGGTAATTTGGCAATGACATACATACAATACATTCAACTTCCCCAAAAATATAAGGAGATGCAGACATATCATTTGGTAGTATACAGCTGTAATTTGGGGGTATTCTATTAGGAATTTAAGTGGGTTGTGTTGTGTACTATACTACTACTGTTATAGAACAAGTAGGTTTATATATAAGATCGAATCATCGAAATAATTAAACACGAATCCTAACTAATGTACACCAAAATCACATTGAAATATTGAGTATGTATATATTTAGAGTGCTTTGTTCTCGAAGTTTCTTATATCAATTAAGCCAGTTGATTAGAACAGTATAATCATGTTGTAGAATATCGCTCGACCCCTTGTTAGAAATAAATATATTATAAAGTTTAAATCAGTAATAATTATGTATTATGCTTTGTTTATTTGAATCGTCGACTCTAACACCACTAATTGAAATAACTATACGTGCAATTGTAAGTTGATATTCATGTTTAAGTCGAGTAGGACACACGCTAAATGATTCATCAATGATCATCGTCGTTATTCATTAATCATTCATAATGGATCATGATTATTATTATTCTTAATTAAATTGGGATCCATATTCGTAGCCATAAGCTTGAAGGAGGGGGCATAAGGGCCCAACAGCTAAATAAATAGGCCTCGTTTCCATTATCCTTGAATTTGATTTACTGAAAATAAAATAATATGAACTTTTTGGCCTTTGAAAAACATACACATTAATCAACAATATTTTAAGGCATAAATCAATAGATTTGGTAACCTATTCCCGATGCCACCAAAACCCCAGTTCAACCAAAAAAATCCTCACTTTCCCTTTCAAGCACACGTGAGCTTGATGTTCATGCTCTGTCGTTGACATTTACCTTCCCGTTACTGTTTTACTTTATATATTTCTACCAACCATTCTAACCTCTCCCAAACGCTGCGTTTTACCTTTAAAGATGCTTCTGGAAGCCCGCGTCACGGCACGGCGCCGTTTGGCGCCACTATCGTTCTACAATGTCGTAAATGGGAAACCCTGAAACGCACGACCGCTACTACTATCAGTATCAGTGCAACTTTTCCGATAGGCGCGATCTCATGTTGGCGGCTCTACGATCCCGGTCACTCTCTCTCTACTCTTCACCTTCTTCATCTATCCTTCAACAATGGAAGCTAGGGTTTCCTGTTCTGGAGCGCGCCTTCTCCTCATCCGCCAACAGAGGCCTTCTTGATCTCCAAGAGGTCGAGAAGGTTCTCAGCGACGTCAAGGCGGACGACGTCAAGGTCATTCCAGCAAACGACCTCTGTGAATGGGCCGATTTCATGGTTCTCGCCACCGGAAAGTCCGCATGGCACGTCAAGAACATTGCTCAAGCCCTAATTTACAAGGCAGGTCCCATTTCTTTTGTTTTCAATAGCTTCGAGTTTGTGTTTGGTTTCCGAGAATCGGAGGGAAACGGAAGAGGGTAGAAGTTGAGGTCTTGTATTGAATGCCATTGACTGGTCATCTGTTTGTTTTCCGGGAAAGGGGAATGTGCACTTTTTTGTTCTTTCAATTTTTTTTTTTGCTTGAGTATTTAAAAACATTGCTTCTTGGTGATTAACTAGTCTACCATTGTCTTGGTTATGGATGATGAGCTTGATCACCATCTGATAATGATTATATTTGTTTACAGTCTAAGCAAAAGCAGAAAGGAGCTCAGCGGCTAGTGCTTCCCAGTGTGGAAGGGCAAGAGGGAGGAAAGTGGATTGTCATTGACTCTGGTAATACAATGCCTTATTGATATTGGCTAGTTTATCGTTTTTAATTTTCTTTTTGGATTTTTATAGTGGCTTTCTTCATTTATTTAGGCAAAGTTATAGTTCATGCTCTTGATGAGAAGGCTAGAGCGTACTACAATTTGGAGGATCTTTGGTCCAAGAAGAAGCTTGAAGAAGATACAATTCAGGTAAATTGCAATACATGCTTTGCATCATAGACTACTTCTCTATGCACTCCATCCAATTGGCACTACTAGAATATTTTCAATGATGTTTATGGGAGATCAGATCACGCAAGCACTTTATCGCTACATGTATAAGCCCCCTTCACAGTCATATTGTGAAGCAGCTATTGACGTTCTTGTCATCAATTTATATTTGTTCTATGATTCCCTCTAGCACGAGATTTGTTACCGAAATCCAGTTTGGTTGAAGTCTTGTGAAAGCAGGCCACATTTAGTTCCTCATGTCATTTCACATACAAAAATTTGCATAGGGATCTAACTAATATGCTAGTCATTTGCATCACATGGACGGAGACGAGGTTTTGGTTCACTGAAGTTTGTGTCATGGGTTTGCTACTAGTTTTCCTGGTAATTTAGGTTTTCAACTTTTCAGAAATTCTTGGATCAATATAGTTATTAGCATCCTGAAATCAGTTGACATAAATAGATTTTCCTCTACAAATGTAAAAGCAAAGCAGTTTTTAGGTCCTCTAGCATTGGAAAGATGAAATTAAAGTTCTGAGATCGCAGGCTGAAGTCAGTACGCTTCCTCTCTTTATTCGCAGTGGAGAAGCTTGTGTGTTATTATTTTTCTTTTCTGCATGATTATATCATAACTGAATTGGAATTTTTTTTACATCAATAATAATTTGTGTTTATTGAATTACCTCTGGTTTTGGTGAGACATCAATGCTCTATACGTGTTTTGATGCTGATGCTATGTCATTGCAACTTAGGGGGTAACCTATCTCCTTGCTCTCATGTAGATGCAAGGTCCTTACGCGCAGACACTCTCTAACTTTCTTTTTTTTATCTGTTTAGGATTTGGAGAAGGCTTTTGTGAAGATTCGTCCCAAGAACAACTCCAAGAGGAAACCGAAACCAGCACTGAAAAGGGCATAAGTTTTCAGATATATGAGATGCTTCCATCCAACCTTTGCCATTTTAGCATCATGAAGCTCATCGTGAAGCTCCATGATCGTTCTAATTGTACATTGTGGATTTGTTATCGAGTTCAATTTTTTTTCTTTCTATTTTGCCAATTAGACTTGAAGACATAATCTGTGACTTTAATGTCAAGAAGAAAGGGAGTGAGAAGAATGAAGAATGTTAATCAGTAATGGTGGTATTTTAGGGACAATGGGGGTGGTAACATAAAGATTATTATTATTAATTTTAATCTGGTGGAGAGTGGAAATATAAAAGGAGAACGGGGAAATAAGACGGGCTTGGAAACAGCACTCTCGTTAATCCATTCCCGTCCAAAATAGATGTATTTAAATCTTGAATTGGGTTCCAATCTAGCAAGGTTATGCTATGTTTGGTGATCCAGAATGAATTTAGATAGGATAAAAGATAATCTGATTATGTGTATTTTTGTAGGATAATTTATTCTATGGAATAGGTGGAATGCATAATCTCGTTACTTCAACCTTCGTACATACTTCAAATCAGGGACCCGAGACACAAACACTAGTCCCAGTAAAGTTTATTTATAATTTCTAATCCAATGTGATCATGCAATTCAATTATATCTCATAATTCAATCTAAATCTTAATACCAACCATAACTTTAACTGTAAACGAAAATCAATTGGTAGCACTAATAAAGGGCATCACCAGGTGTTGGGCTAGTTCTTGGACCAAATTCGGTCCACGGTCGAATAATGACCCAGGCGGCTCGTTTTAGCGTTAAAGCCCAAACCACAAACAATTGGCAGTGCAAATTTTCATAAAACTGGGTCGGGTTACGGTTGAGCTGACTTACCTAAATTTCCTGCCCATCAACTTCAAAATCTCAAAAACGTCCTCACAATGTTCTCAATATCACAATCCTACCCCTATTATCGACAACACTGTCATTAACGGCTGCACCTGCATGGTAATTAAAAGCAAATGCAGGCCCACACTCTGGACACTTCGTTTCCATCGCCATTTCAACAGTCTCCGGAGTTTCCAAGGCCGCAGCACAGAAAACACCTACACACAGCAAAAGCATTTGAATTTCTTTGTTTGTTTCGTTTCCGTTGTATAAAAGTCAAGCGACTTTCTTCCCATTTCTGGCTTCATTTTCTCCCTTCGCATTTATCAACTCTCTTGGCTCGCCCACTGCCCCGAGCTTCCATGGCTTCCATCGCCGCATCAAACGTCGTCGCTTTTAAATACGCCGATAAATTCAGAGCTCCTGGCGATTCCAGAGCCTGCCATTTCAAGCAATGGGCCCCAGTTGGTAGCACAATCGGATCGGGTCGGAGCATTGGCCTCAAGTACAGATCCAAGAGCAGCTCCGGTACTTCAGTTTGAATTAATGATCGAAACGATTCGTTTTGTCTTGAGATGCTTTTGGATTTGAATGTAGTAGATTAGCCTGATTGGTTATGTTATGCAAGTAAATTGAATTGAATTGAGAGGTGTGGTGTGATTTGATGGTGATCATGGTGTCACATGCAGGTCAGGTGAGGGCTCAGGTGGCCACGGTTGAACAAGCAAGCACAGGAGCAGCACCAAAAGTGGAGGGTCCTGTGGTGGTAGTGACCGGAGCTTCTAGGGGCATTGGCAAAGCCATTGCTCTGTCTTTGGGCAAAGCTGGTTGCAAGGTCGGTCAGTCAGTCCTAGACTCCCCACAGTCAATAGTGCAAAATTCTTCATTTCTGGTTTTGTTGATAATGGATGAATTGATGTTGCCGCATGCAGGTCCTTGTTAATTACGCAAGGTCGTCAAAGGAGGCAGAGGAGGTTTCCAAAGAGGTACAATTAAATCATCTATGCAAATCATATTAACGTGCCTCACTGACTTGTCATTCAGACTGAGTTCGTATATCATGCTTTTATTAGTGATAGAGATAGTTTGTATGTGTATTTGATTATGTTTTTACTTGCAGATTGAGGCATTCGGTGGACAAGCTCTTACTTTTGGAGGAGATGTTTCGAAGGAAGAAGATGTTGAAGCCATGCTCAAAACTGTGAGCAAATGGTCCCTTCTCATAAAAAAATCACATCAGATCGTGCTAGTTTAATATGTTTCATGATTTTACATTTGTAGGCGGTTGATGCTTGGGGAACTGTTGATGTATTGATAAATAATGCAGGTGGTTATTGCAAGTTTCACTTGCTCCTTTTTATTTTTCTTTGGATGTGATTTTCCAATTTCATATTCGGTCCTCCTAACTTTCTACCATGGTTTCAGGAATTACTAGGGATGGTCTATTGATGAGAATGAAGAAACAACAATGGCAGGAGGTCATCGATTTAAATCTTACTGGTGTATTTCTATGTACCCAGGTGTGTGTTTACGAATTTTGAATTTTCATGGCAATGTTACTTGACTACTACGCAGAACTGAGAAATTTCACTTTTTCAGGCAGCAGCTAAAATTATGATGAAGAAGAAGAAGGTAAATACCAATCCTTTCAAAAAGTTGTATTCCCACCCTTTAGTCTAATATCTAATATTAGTTGGATGATGCTTTTTTCAGGGAAGGATAATCAATATAGCATCGGTTGTTGGCCTAGTTGGAAATGTTGGACAAGCCAACTATAGTGCTGCAAAAGCAGGAGTAATTGGCCTGACAAAGGCTGTTGCCAAGGAGTATTCAAGCAGACACATCAATGTGAGTGTCCTAAAATTTGATTTTTGTGCTAGTGATCAGACTCGTCCCAGAAGGTATTGATAGTAGTTGATGGAGTCATAAACAATGGATTTCCTTCAGGTTAATGCTGTTGCCCCGGGATTTATTGCATCAGACATGACTGCCAAGCTAGGGGATGACATTGAGAAGAAAATTTTAGAGACCATCCCCTTAGGTGAGCCTGGGGGAAGTTCTACCCTTTCAAATCAAATAGCTTCCCAAGTATATTTGATAATAATTTGCTAAATTGATTTCATACTGGCTGTGATTATAGGAAGATATGGCCAACCTGAAGAAGTTGCTGGACTGGTGGAATTCTTGGCCCTTAGTCCTGCAGCCAGTTACATGACTGGACAGGTTTCATTTTCCTAACTAATTTAATATTCTAGTTTGTTTTTGAATTAATTGTTGAGCTTTGTGTACTTGTCTTATAGTTACCTGAAGTGTGAATTGTTATGGTCAGTGAAATAGGAATAGAAATGCAGTATATGCACCTACCCTGAACATGAATCGTGGGTTTGACGTGGACTCAAATTCAACTTTCATTGACTGCTTAACTTTAAAGTTTGATTGTGACGAAGTTAAATGTTTTAATAGTTTAGCCTCTGTTCTTTATTTTTATTATTATTTTTTTCTTTCAAACATCGTAATCTAAAATTATTTTCTTATCAACATATCATGTTTCCTTAAAAAGTGATAATTGCAAGAAATACATGAGGTATAATTTTGGATCACCAAAACTAGCATATTCAAATGAAAGTGTATCATGTTTTGGATGAATGACCTCACACTACAAAGCATGAGGGTAGCAGTGTGTTTTGTGGTAACTATGCTTTGTATCAAGGAGCTTTATTTTTTGCTCATGGCAGTTCATGGGTAACCACAAACTATTATGTTAGAAACCTTTCATTGCAATTTATATATCAAGGCATGTTATAATGAGTTGGTGTCAATGTCATTACCTTGGTCTTCCCAGTCTTTCACCGTGTATCATTTGAGACAACCTGCTTTTCCATTTTTTGCATCGGTGACCATAACTCACCTTTTTTTGCAGGTGCTCACCATTGATGGAGGTATGGTGATGTAGGTCTACTACACTGCTGACCCCAAGATGTGGATTAGAACGGCTAAGCTTCAAGTTGAGTATGAAATGGAATCGCCGGATTCTAATGGGATATGACAGACAGATTATGTGAAAGCCCATCATCATGTTACAAGTAATTTTCTTCAAGTTAATTCAACAATAAATTCTTCAGCAAGTTTTGATAGAATTTCAGTTTAGCTTGGTAGTGACACTAGTAAAAAGAGCTCTGTAAAATGACCTGTTTGTGGAATGTGTTTGCTAAAATAGAAGTGCAGTTTTCAGTCGAGTTAAACTGCTAATCTGTTAACCATCCATTGATTTGTAGTTTGTGGGTTCCATTGGAACTCAGTACATGATGGATGGTTGAGAATTTACGCTTTATGAATTATAGAGATTATGTTCCCTTTTGCTTTTTCCGGTATGGTATTGGGCCCTAAAAGCTCGTTTGCTAGCTACCATGTCATGCACGCCATTCTCTAGAGAGTGCCGTTACAATTTGAATTCACTAGAAGAATTACAACAAAATGTAGTAATTTTTGGAGTTGAAGATTGGTACCCTTCAAGTCCAGTGTAAAAGGGCCTTGCAGGCTAGTGGTCTCAGATTCGAACTCCCATGACACATACATGGGAACATTGGTAGTATGTGTATAAGAAACTCTCATTCTCCTTGTAGTTTAGACTGTCATTTATTTTTAGAAAAAAAATAGTTGAACCAATAATTCCGTGGAAATACTCAATATAGATGTGATGTATTTCTTGGGTCAAATTTTTTGTTCCAAGTATACTTGGTCAAAGTGTTGTCATTGTTTTTGGGGCTCGTAAAATTTTACCCTAATATATCTCCTTCCGTGGAGCTCAATATGAACTAGTTAAGTCATTTGTACAGTGATGTATGGGTCAGGATAGGACTGAATATGTACATTCTTGCACTTGTATTTTGGCCGTCCTTGGTTGTTGTTGGATTTAATTCTTAGTTGAGGTCTTAAATGTTGTTATAATTGTGGCCTCTCCTTTCTTTTTCCTCTCTCAAACATCATAATCCACAAAAATTCTTTAGTTTGTCATGTTTTCCTTGTAAAAGGACGAGATGCATGAAGGACATTTTTGGATCACAAAAACTAGCCTAGTTGCATATTCTAGTGCAAGAATTCTACGGTGAGGGCTAAGGCCCTCATCCTTAATCGTTCGATCAAATTGGTTAGCGGTTGGATCAAATTAATCAGTTTGATCAAACGGTTAAGAGATATGACCTCATCTAAGGGCCATATCATAGTAGAATGACTCGATTGTGGCGAATATGTTCCCTCTAATTTTTCCTGTATGGGATTGGGATTGGGCCCTAAAGCCTTGTGTAGCCATTTGGAAAAGCGAAAAAAGAAAAATAAAGGCCGGAATATTTGATCAAGTCATTGGATAATTCCATAAAATAGATGCAAGTTCTTCCTTGCAAGCATAGAATTATTAGGTGCAGTGCAGGAGGGTTCCAAATTTCATATCCGAATATCCCACCACACGATTCCACCACGAAACATGGACATGTATATCTTCTCAAGTCAAGCAAAGGCGGCAAAGCCTTACAAGCAACGAAATATAAAATACCCTCGCAGCCTTCGTTTATTCACTTTCAGAATGAATAGTCTCCCTTCCCTTGATTTGATCATTGGCATGTGTTTGTAATTTGTTTTTGCATGTTGGCCCTTTTTGGTCATCATTACATCAAGAAGAAATGGTCTTACGTTATGAGACTACATAGTATAATCAGGACTAGGACTTTAATTTCTTTTTCTTTGACAATACGTCCTTCTAAATTACTCTAATATACAAATGGATGGGAACTCGAGTGCAATGAATGGGTATGATACACTAACTTTTTTTTTTTTGGATCGATATTTTAAACTACTCTAATGTACTGGGAATGTGAACTCAAGTATAATCCTGTATTTACCAACTTTTTGGTAAACCAATATTCGAAACGACTCTAATATACTCTAATATACAAATACAAGATTTCATTTATTAATACCGTAGTACCGATCCACACGAGATTTTCAATCTACTTTTCCCCTACCCCTCACTTTAAAGCTCTCACACTCGGCTTCAAAAAGCAGGTAACCTTCCTTCCTTCTATCTCCTGAGTTCAGAATCTGTGTGTATGTGGTTAAACAGAATCTAGTTTCCCCATTCTCTTTTGGAGCCCAATAATTTCTAAGTTTGAACCTTGATTTCTGCATACAATTCTCTCTCTCTCTCTCTCTCTCTCTCTCTCTCTTGGAGCCCAATAATTTCTAAGTTTGAACCTTTATTTCTTGGGTTTAATTTTCATGGAGAATTCAATTCTTGGCATCCCAACACTTCCAGCCTTCTTCTCCATATTTCTGCTCATCTATCTCTTTGCTTATTTTGTGGTTTTCCGCAACTGGGGTCCAAAACACAGACCAGAAGCTTCAAGCTGCCTAATCTCTCTAGCTCATGGCCCTACAGCAGCCATTATATCCATCTACTCAATCCTCCACAGCCACAAAGCCCCCACCTTTGCCTCTCCTAACGACACTTTCCAAAACACCATACTTGAATTCAGCATAGCTTACTTCTTCCTTGACCTCCTTCACTATTTATTCTTCTTCCCCAGTGATGTCCTGTTCATCCTCCACCATTTAGCCACACTCTACGTGTTTACAACTTGTCGTTACGTGGTTCATCATGGGGCCTACGCTATCCTTGTGCTTCTCTTTCTTGCTGAAATTACAAGTGGCTGCCAGAACGTTTGGACCCTTGCAAGTTATCGCAGGGCTGATTCACCGGCTGCTGCCAAATTGTACGACTTCTTGTCTCCTCGCTTTTATGTTTTTTACAGTGTCTTCAGAGGATTTCTTGGACCACTGTTCATGTTTAAGTTGGGGTTGTTTTATGCAAGTGGGGCAGCTGAACCCAAAATTCCCAGATGGGCATGGGTTTCTTGGATGGTTGTGATTTTAATTGCCATCGGCCTTAGCATATTGTGGGTTTTGAATCTTTGGATCGACTGGCACAGAAACAAAGTGCAGAAGAAAGAGACGTAGAACAAGTGTGATGCCTTTTCTTTTTTAAACCTTTTTTTAACCCTTTTTTTTTTGTGTAAAATTATAAATGGGGTTGTATAATGTTCATATTTCCAAGATAAGATTCATCTATGTCTTTGTATTATTACTCGTGTAACCATTAGACAGGCTGGTGTCTTCTTCACTTATTGGTGTTTTCATTTATGGAGAAGGTTCCAAACTTCACATTGAGGGGTCTCACATCAACTCATTGGTTTCCAAAAATGAGTTTGATTCTTTTTTGGGGGCCTAACACAGTGAGTCTGATTGACATTTGCACCAATCATCACTATCTTTCATTATAGAGAATATAAGTGATGACCATGTATTGACATCGAACCAAACCTAATACAGAAAGAAATCTATCTCCCTTTTACACAAATGAGATGGTAATCCACTTAATACGGCAGCCTATGGAGCTTTCGAAACTTATTGTTCATTGAATACAATAAATTTTAACTTAGGATCATTTTGATCCTAAACTTCTATGCTACAGGCCGCTTACCGGATCGTTCTTGAAGTATACGCAGCAAGTTAAAGAAATCCGATGTTGTTTATATGCCTGTGATCGAAGCATTGCTTGTGTCAGGATTACCACAGTAGTTAAGCTCGACGAAAGTACCTCCTCCTTCTCCCTTGGCCAGTCTTCCCGGATTGACGCAAATGCATTTAACCTGCTCTTTCTCTTCACCTCTTTCACCAAGGGGCAGTACCTGGACCCAAAGTCAAATTTCTGTTAACGTCTATTGGTAACGACATCAACTTGGTTTTAATATGCCAAAGTCACAAAATTTAAAACCCATTCTTTATTGGGGTGACAGGCACCTTTCTTTATGATCTTATTACAATTGCTTTAGCTTGAAGTTGGTATGACCATTTACCTTCACAAAATGCTTCATGTCAGAGGGTAAGATGAGAATATCTGGGATCAACGAGATGTTTAGAGCTTCTGGAGCAAGCGAAAAATCCAATGGAATGCCTTCTGCTGGTGGATATAGAGGATAAAAGCTGTCCCAAAAATTATAGAGTATGTTTAGAATTTTAGATAGTAGAGCACCTCTGACCATATAGACGTATTAAGAAATTAGAGCGTGCCTGCGCTGGCTAAGTATATGGTTTGCAAGTCTACTCATGCGATCACTGAGTTTTCCATCCTTTGGATTACGCGAGATCTCCTCTCCACTAAGGTGTTTGAGAATATCCACAGAGCAGCAACCTATCTTGACCTGAAACCAAAAAGTTGTGAACTGGTCAAGATGGAGCTCAATTAAACTCGTGGGGTTAAGTATAAATCATTTGTTTTATAATCCACCATCTTTGTTGACCAAACTGAATGTGCCTTCTACATTGGAATCCAAAGCTTTTTATATTAATAAAATCTTGGCACCAACAAATTGATAATTCTAACATCAAAACTCATTTCGGAAAAGTTACAAAGGTAGTCATAATTTCAGGACAAGAGCCGTTGGTTACCTGATTTGCCTCGAAAATCCCTGGATTTGTGAGACTGGTTATCTGAGTACGAACATGTAAAATCACTTCGTAAGCATAACGGTAGAAAATAAATTTATTTAGGAGTTGCTCACCAGTTTGAAAGATGAAAGCTCGAAATCCACAAACATGTACCTGATGCCTGAGATTAGCTGGATGAATATCAAAAGCAGGCTGCACAACCAAGAAAAACATATGATCTTAATTTATCATCTCAATGAAGTGTAAGGAAATTGAGCAGATATATCCTATATTTACTTGATTCAAAAGTAGTATTACCTGAGGGAAAACAAAGTCATGGTTAGCATCCCGTATAGATGGTACAAGAACAACGCGTGCATGTGAACCCATGTATTCGACATGATCTTGCAACTGAAAGAAAGATAACATGGAAAAAGGCATGAAGACTGAATCGATCTATATAGTTCTTCAGAGCGACAATTACACAACCCTTTAAGTACATACCCTTCTAAGAATCTCAGAACGGAAAATTTCATCAAAGCTCCTGTCCACAGTTCCTTTCTTAATTTCTGGATGTTCAGAATCAATAAATGGTCCTAGCTGAGAAAAACAACATCAATACGTAAGCAACATAAATGGTTCACGCAGTTAAATTTTTTAAAAGAAAAATTCAATTGAAGAAAAGTGGATACTTACCAATATAAGCAACTGGGGCAGCGTTTTACTTGCATATGCTAGCAGCTCTCTTAGAGGCTCAAACAATAAGTTGTCTGTTGTGGTAAAAGGGCCTGATGCGATGATCTGTTGAAATACAAAATTATAGGTTACCAAAGGGGATCAGAGATTTGCATGGAATTGTGAAAAGTTCAATCATTCCACACATTGATTTCATATTAGCAATGAGCAAGTACTATATATAACATCATATACATAAACCCTGATTTTTTTTCCATTTTTTGCTTGTGTCCAGAAATCTAGGAAAGTACGCTGCCTTGCTTCAACTATCTCAGTTAGCAACCCAACTCCTCTGCCTCTTCAGTTAATGAACAATTTCTCTAGTCAGAAAGCTAATATTTTCAAGTATTTTTAAGTCGTTCTTATCCATTAAGCCTCCAGCTTAGTAATCTTTTAATTGTACAGCAGTGTGGCACCGGAGTCCTTAAAACATTTCTAAATTATCTAGCCTCCATTAAAAATCATCACTAGACAGCCTACTCTTAGGTTCTCCATATTCACATTTAAATATTGCTTTCGAACTCAGATCGAAGTCTTGTATGATAAATGATTCTGTGGTGTATTGAACAGTACTACACTGATGTTGACTGACAAATAACATAAGCTTCGCATAAAAGAAAAAAATTTATAATAATATCTACAGTTTACTCGCACGAAGTAACACAGGCTACAAGCTTACACACCACTGATAGTTCTGGTTGTGTACCGGACACACCATCTGACAAAATCTCCTGATCCAAAGCTTGCCTTTTTGCAGGAGGCAAGTTTGCATCATCAGCAATAGGCAAAGGGATTGAATCTACCAGTTTTGAAGCAATAAAGCAGTGTCCACTAGGATTGATCCCTTCAATACAGTCCTTCCATGTCAGAATTTAGAATCGGAACGCTATTTCAACATTTGGAACAGACCATGGTTCTATTTTTTCATGTTCCATACCTGGCCTGGAAAGATTGAAAACTGGCTCAAGTTTTGTAATTCTATACGAACACGCTGGCCTCCAGAATGCTCTGCGCTGTCAAAGATTGAAAGGAAAAAAAATGTTTATCTAAAGAATAACAATATATAACCAGCAGTTTTCAAGAGAGTGAACAATGATGCTTAGGCCTGTTTCAGCCCTAACAGAATAACTGTGGAGCCCAACCTGGGCCTAAGCGTTGCCTTAAAGAAGGCTAAGATCCTGAGACAATATTGTTCACTAGCTAAACTTAAGTAAAAACCATTTTTCAAGCCCTTCACAGATTGATATCATGTTCGAAGGTGTAGTCATGAATGTTCTCAGTCTACTGACATATCATTGACAAAACAGGAAGAATACTAGCCAGTAGGCCTGTTAATAAACTGTTCACATGAAGAGTATATAGGAAAATCCAGGAATTTCTACCTGCTTTGCAACAAGGTGGACTTCTCGTTCAAATGGCCCTCTCCATCACAATAGATCATGCCAACAGTAAATATGATTTTCTGAAACATAATAAGATTAGATCATAACTAGTCTCAGAGTGACTTGGAGGAGATTGAGTTGCCGAAAAATTTTCCTACCAGGGGAAGAGGGTGCAGGTACCATACCTGAGAAGAAACTGTAGGATCCAGCGGTTCCTCATACTGCCCAGATGAAACCAGTGCAGTTGCATACTTACTAATTCGGTTTTCAAGTGCATTAAACTAAATCACCAAAAGCTTAAGTTAGTGGAGAATATATATGGAGGTGAAGATCAACATACTTTCTTAAGTTTTCCTTACCCTATCTTCAGTCCTATCATACATAAACCGACAGCCTATTTCAGGACCTGAACTATGGACTATTAAAGAACACCTCTTTCCAGGCTTAACCTTCCTGATAATGTCATCATCCTCATGATTCTCATTATCATCTTCTTTTTCCCCATTCTCTGTATTTGGCTTGTTATTGATGCTAAACTTCACAACCAACTTGTCTGTTCGTTGTCCAAAAGGAGTTGCGAGTTTCGATGGTTTCCCAGAAGAAATGTTCCCAATTGCTTGCGGTGTTGAGTCAGATGGCTCTGAGTAATGGTTCTGAGATTTGAATGGTGGTGGAGTGCCAAGAACGTCTTCCCTTATATCTTCATCTTCATCATTCAAAATCCTGCACATGGTTTCTCATCAAATACTGAATTTCTGAAACTAGTCATACCGATCCCACGACCACAACATTTATGCCACCACAAATGAACAATTATTATATACAAAAAGGGAAATGCTCCATTAAGGATTTTATGTTGAGGATTAGTTAAGGATTTCTAAACCTATCCATTGGATTGCATGTATGGAATATGTAACCCACTAACACATCTAATGGATGGCTGCAATTAGAAATCCTTAACATAAAATCCCTACTGGATAAGCTCCCATTCAAAAAAGCTCAAAATCATATATTGTGCTTACATGTCCACATCTCTGCTTGAGTAGATATGCAGATCGAGTTCCTTTTCATCGATGGCAACTTTCTGCTGACTTTGCAAATACCCTAAAAACCCATCCATTTCGGCATCTTCTACCACAGTTCCGTTTATTTGCCTGCCACAAAATCCTATTTCAAACCAGATAATAATCGGCAACAAAGGTCTATACACAAAACTAATCCCTCTCTCCGATGGCCATAAAAGAAAAAATACACCCAAGAAAATAAGCTAAAAATTAAAGTTAAGAACTATACTCAAACACAAAATTGAATTATTTTAAACGTTTTAGTAAAAAACGCAAATGAATTTTAAGTTTTTGGTTTTTTCTGTAAGCAATATAAGGGTAAATGTATTCAAGAAAAAACAAAGGGGGAGGATGATAAAAAACCTGTTGAGGTAGTAAATCTCCCAGCTTGAAACGAGATCCGCAGGAGTGAGTTTGAAATTTATGCAGAATGTGGCGCCTAATCGAAAATTGTGGCATCAATATACACTCATTTGTAAATAGCGATGAAGTTCAAATTGGGAACAGAAGGCGAAAGATCTTACATTTTTGAAGTATTTCCTTTTCTTTGTCGAAAGTGAAACCACTGTTGTTGAACTCCGCTTTGATTTCGTCTTCCATGTGGCGCTCTGGTTCACTCTATCCCTCTAGGGTTTCAGAAGCTGCCACTTTTGAGAGTTGCCGGGAATTGGCGGGAAGAGTTGAGATTTTGGTGGGTAACCATTCTGCATTTCCTATACTGCCCTCTTTCTATTTGTGGATTCCAACGCTGCGTAACCGCATGTGATCTATAAACGACGTGTCGTTTCATTTCGGACTTATTGTTTTTGGGTTTCGGTTGGGGCCCAAGCCCAAAATATTACGCCCAAACCATACAGAACTATTCCTTAATTTACTCTCCATTATATAAACATGGGGATAATTGTAGAATCGTCACGTGAACTTATACATTAGTTTTAATACAAATTTATAAATAAACCCAATCCTAGACATGTATTTATAAAAAAACCCAAGCACTATTTAAACATAGAAACACACCCAAAATCAACCCCAAAGTCAACTTTTTGGGTGTGTTTATAAATGAGTTTTGAGTGTGTGTAATGATGAGTTTTGGGTGTGTTTATAAAGTGTTTTGGGTGTTGGGGTTTTTTTTATAATTTCAACCTCTATTTTGGGTGTTTTAGTGAAACTCCCTTTAATTTGTCACTTTAAAGAAAAATTTAAGCAAAATGTAGCCTTAAGTTTTCAAAATGCATGATTTGTCACCTGACTTCAACATCATCCAATTTTCCATCCATTTTGAAGGGTATTTTAGTCTTTCCAAGCAAGAGTGATTATATAAAAAAAGAGGGTTTACATATTGGAAAGACTAAAATCCCCTTCAAAATGGATGAAAAATTGGATGATGTTAAAGTCAGGCAACAAATCATGGATTTTGAAAACTTAAGGTGACATTTTGCTTAAATTTTTCTTTAAGGTAACAAATTGAAATTGACGTATAAGTTCAGGGGACATTTCTACAAAAATCCCTTTAAACATGACATCCAAGGCAAAAGTTGGATTCTTATCCTCTTAGGTTATAATTTGATTCATATTGATTTGGACACCCTCCATGTTCTTACTCAAATTTGTAAAAACCTGTACTCAATAAACTTTAATTTGTAGCTTAAGCGTTTAAATGCAGTTACTTTGCACTCGAGGTTTGTATTCGAATATCTCTCTCCCTCAATATGGCTTGTATCATGAAAAAAATAAAAAATAAAAAAATTTACGTATTCCAATTTCTCCTCTTCTTTTGAGAGATGAAGAACAACCAAATAAATAGAGTTGATTGTGGCAACAACAATTATCAAGGGGAAAGAAAGAACCGATTTATTCCTCTCTCACATGCAACAACTTCTCCTACCATATTCAATAATATTTGTAGTTCAACTAATCTGATCCCTTTTCTTATTGTGTTTACACAGACTACTAATTCGTATTAAATAAATAATAATAAAGTTAACAATGCTACTGGACGTGTTTAGCCATAATTATTCTGCAACATCTCTAGGAAGCCCACATGAGTCATATCCTATCATGTTCCTTGGAGGTACAAAAGTCAAGCTTCCAATGCCAACTGCTGTGATGATGGCCTCATCAACATGATCATCTACTTTTGAGCTTGAATATATTAAGATGAACTCATGTTTGCATAAATAAACTAGTAGTTCATGAGAAGAATTTGTAGGTTTTTGCTTGCAGAATGATATTCCTTAGGGCTCCAATGGGTGCTAAAATCATCAACGTAACACCAAGAATAATGCATAGCTGAAATGTTTGAATGAAGAAGAAAAAAGAAAGGTCAGCATTGTTAATGAGCCTAAAGATCATAGCTAGAGGAAATTAATCGAAGCGAAACCAGCGCAACATACCCAGTTCATGCACCAAGATAGACTGAATCGTTTCGGTTTGTAGATGGAAAGCCACATGACGCAGGGAAGCTGCAAATTTTAAAGAAACATTACAAAGTTAAGCTCAATTTGGATCTTTAGACTTAGATTGTATAAACAGCACACATGATGCAGAGCAATGAATCTTTTAATTTGCTTACGAAATATGTGGTTGGGGCGAAAGCAAATCCCCCAAAGAATCCCAGAAGGCCACTGAAGAAAGGGATGGCTATACCAATGATCATGGTAAATGCTGCAGATTAAGAACAAACTATGATCAGTACTGAATTATTGGCATGGAAATTGAACAAAGTTCACTCCATTAATGGACTTACCAACGTATGTAGTGCGAGTAACAAATCGAAGGGCGAAAGAAGGCGTGAAGTTCATCTTCTTGACCAGAAAAGTTTCAATCATGTCAAACACTCCCATTGCAAACACTTGGTAGCTTCCAATGACATGGACCACAACAAACATGTTAGCAGTTGCAATTAGCCAAACGGGTTTATCTAATGAGATGAGGATGTTGTCTTCAATTTTGTTTCCGTAAACCCAGTAGCCAACAAAACAAACAGGGAAGTAGCACAAAGCCACCACAATGTATGCCACAATCACTCCTTTCCACATGGGACCCTTGGAAGGCTTCTCCGGGGTAGAGGGAATGGTTGCTTGGATCTCCAAAACCACATTGTGACCAGCGTAGGCAAATGCTACGTCTCCCAACCCACTGAAGAAGTTAAAGACAGCTCCAGAATTGGTTTTAGCTTTGTAGCTGTAGTCCACGTTTGGTTCAACCCCCTTGTGTAAAGCAGCACCCCATGCAATTGTTGAGTAACTGCATATGATCCATCCCCAAGACAAAAATTGTAAGTAAGAAATCAGATAATCGATTATACTAAAGTCACAAACAAAATTTCCAATTTTAGTCACCAAATGATCGTGTGCCGGTGTCTAAATATTTTGGGGATATGTTTTATAGTTGATATCTCTAGCATTACCTCAAGGACAAAAGTTCCATGTATACAATTGTGGTGATGGTTCATTGACTTGAAGAAATGAATTACCTCAAGGACATGACTGCTGCAGCCAGTGAGATACCAGAGATGGCGTTGAAGTTGGGGAGATGGGAGAGAACAAAGTGGGAAGAAGCAAAAATCATAATCCAGTAGGAGGTCCTGATTGTTTTGCAACTTGGACAAATCACATCATGGAACTTCTCCAGTGATTTTCCTCCTGTGACCATATACACTATGTTGACACCAACTTCCACAACTAGCTGTTGGGGTACCACAATCCACAGCCCCAGCTTCTCTCCAAAGGCATGCTGCCCCAGCTCATGGTACCTATCAAACCGCTTCCCGGGCACCATTTCATGCATCTCAACCATTTGCCACAGTGTGTATAGGGTGATGATCCATGACAGAATCATAATAGCCACACCAGGACCCCTATAATTTTCCCAGAAAATAAAAAATAAAAAACAAAAACAAAACCATCCAAGTTCTGCCATGAAATGAAGCAAATTATAGGGATGAAAGTCATGAAATGAAGCAAACACATGCATATGTAAATAAATATATCATGTACATACCATCCAAGTTCTGACATGGCGTAAGGAAGGCTGAGGACACCAGCCCCCACCATGGCAGTGACATTGTGGAAAGCAGAGTACCACCATTTGGCATTCCTAGCAGAAGTGATGGGAAGCCAATCATCAATCTGCTTCTGCCTGGCTGCGGCATCTTCAACATCCCTTGCTTGAACCATTTTTTTCTTTTCTTTCTAGGCTTCAACAAAACTAAACAGATTTAAAGAAGGGCAAAAGCAAATAGTGAAGAGCAAGCAATTGGCCTGTAAACTCACCCAAAGCCATCACCTTTATATTTGTTGTTGGAGACATGAAAGAAAGCCAAAATTAGCAAAGTTGGCCAAGTTAGTAAGTTTCAGTTTCTCTTTTGTACTCTAGGATAGGAAAGCCATCCATCCATTTAGCGGGGTTGAGCTGTAACACGGGTTAAATTACCACCAAGCCCCTAGTATCTCACTCTTAAGATCAACAAACTTGCTTTACTTGTTACCTCCCGAGGTGTCATCTGTAAAATTGTGAGTGGGGAGAACTTGTACGGATTCAAAGATTCAGCTTGGTAAAAATAAAACCGAGCATGGCGGGATTCCATGTCTTGATACATTAAAGCCAACCCCAAGTAACAAACGTTGACGTCTCCAAAGACCAAGGGGAGACCTTAGACCCTTCGACCAAGGTCCCATGGAGACTCATGTTCTTGTCTTTAAGACATGGCTCCCACCATTATCTCATTTCAAGGCTTCCTATATCTACTCGCTAGCTTATTAGTAGCATTTCTTTTTATGTTCATATTTTATTTATTTATTAGGTTATCTTTTTTGGATAGATCGAATCCTTTATCTAACGTAATCCTAACCATTTTTATGTTACTATGTACACGTGATTGAGAGTCTGAAGTTAGGATATACTTAGATAATTTTGTTAATCCGAAGTTAAATTTTATGCTCGCATGTCCACAAGTCATGTCGAGAGTGAGCGTATGATTAGGCCCACATTAACACTGCAATCTCCTACTTTTAAAAGTTCCTGTTTGTAACTTAGAAATTTGGATAACTGAATTTGGAAAAATAGGAGAAGCGTGTGGTCCTGACTTGAGAATGTCATAATAGGAAAGAACGAAGTCAGCCCATCTCAAATGGCACATGAGTTGCTTGTTGTCCTTTTGGTCAAAAATTTCCTATACCAAGCTTTTTCGTGCATCAAATTCCTGATTGTGAGGATCAGGGTACCAAGCATTTCTATAAAGAAGGCATGCATGCATTGTGGCTGGCGTATCGAGTATGAGAACATGTCCAAGCAAAATAAGAAATAAAATTAGTGGACAGTACAATTCAAGCCACACCTAACCACATCATTGTGTGTATGAACATCAATTTCAAGCCAATCTAAGTTTGAAGTCGATTATATACAATGGTAGTTGGTATATCAGATTGCAATTGTTAGCGGATATCAAAGGTTCAAAGAGGCATGAATGACAAAGAAACGCTTCACATTTCTAACCACAAGTTGGCATGAAAAGACTTATAAAAGATGAAAAGAACAAGAAGAACAGCAGTGAGAACAGGAAAATTGCAACCATGTAAGCATTTTATGGCCCTCTGTAGTTTTATGATGGGATTTTCAAAGCCTAACGAACCTAAACACTTGGTTGTG